ACTAGAAAGTCGCCAGTTCTCACCATCCAGCTCCACAGATACTCCGCGTAGTAAAGTTGTACTACAAAGTCGCCAGTTCTCCTCGTCCAGCTCGCCAGATACTCCGTGTACTAAAGTTGCGCTACGAAGTCGCCAGTTCTCAGCTTCTAGCTGCACAGATTGCTCCGCGTACTGAAGTTGTACTACAAAGTCGCCAGTTCTCATCGTCCAGCTTGCCAGATACTCCGCGTACTAAAGTTGTACTACAATGTCGCCAGTTCTCAGCCTCCAGCTCTACAGATTGCTCCGCGTACTAAAGTTGTACTAGAAAGTCGCCAGTTCTCAGCTTCCAGCTCTACAGATTGCTCCGCGTACTAAAGTTGTACTAGAAAGTCGCCAGTTCTCAGCTTCCAGCTCTACAGATTGCTCCGCGTACTAAAGTTGTACTAGAAAGTCGCCAGTTCTCAGCTTCCAGCTCTACAGATTGCTCCGCGTACTAAAGTTGTACTAGAAAGTCGCCAGTTCTCAACTTCCAGCTCCACAGATACTCCGCGTACTAAAGTTGTACTAGAAAGTCGACAGTTCTCAGCTTCTAGCTGCACAGATTGCTCCGCGTACTAAAGTTGTACTAGAAAGTCGCCAGTTCTCAGCTTCCAGCTCCACAGATACTCCGCGTACTAAAGTTGTACTACAAAGTCGCCAGTTCTCATCGTCCAGCTCGCCAGATACTCCGCGTACTAAAGTTGTACTACAAAGTCGCCAGTTCTCAGCTTCCAGCTCCCCAGATGCTGTGCCTGCCACGAAATCTGCACATGGAGGTTCACAAAGTGCTGCGCCTGCCACGAAACCTGCACATGGAGGTTCACAAAGTGCTGTGCCTGCCACGAAATCTGCACATGGAGGTACACAAAGTGCTGCACCTGCCACGAAATCTGCACATGGAGGTTCACAAAGTGCTGCGCCTGCCACGAAATCTGCACTTCAAGAAACAAGTGAAAACTCTAATCCCAATGGAGGGACGATTCCGACCATGCCCGAGAATGATCCGAGAATGATCCGAGCATGACCCGAGACCGTCTCGCAACCGTCGTTCCGCAGACCTTGACTTGCCAGCTTCGGAGCCACCGGTTCCATTGAAAAATATAGCATTTCGTGCGTTCGCTATCTCTCCGCAACGCATTTTGTATTGCGCCTGCCACGAAATCTGCGCATGGAGGTTCCCAAAGTGCTGTGCCTGCCAGGAAATCTGCACATGGAGGTACACAAAGTGCTGCACCTGCCACGAAATCTGCACATGGAGGTTCACAAAGTGCTGCACCTGCCACGAAATCTTCACTTCAAGAAACAAGTGAAACCTCTAATCCCAATGGACGGACGATTCCGACCATGCCCGAGAATGATCCGAGCATGACCCGAGACCGTCTCGCAACCGTCGTTCCGCAGACCTTGACTTGCCAGCTTCGGAGCCACCGGTTCCATTGAAAAATACAGCATTTCGTGCGTTCGCTATCTCTCCGCAACGCATTTTGTATTGCACCTGCCACGAAATCTGCACATGGAGGTTCACAAAGTGCTGCGCCTACCACGACATCTGCACATGGAGGTTCACAAAGTGCTGCGCCTGCCACGAAATCTGCACAGGGAGGTTCACAAAGTGCTGCACCTGCCACGAAATCTGCACCTGGAGCTGGAGTTGCCTGGAGCTTGAGCTGTTGAAACCAGAGCTGGTGTATGAGCGGTGTATGATGAGTGGTGTGTGATCAGTCGTGTATGATGAGTGGTGTATGATGAGTAGTGTATGATGAGTGGTGTATGATGAGTGGTGTATGATGAGTGGTGTATGATGAGTGGTGGTTGAACAGCTGTTGAATGTCCGTAACACGGAAGTTTTGCACACTAAACTTCCTTTGACTAAGTACTCTAACTAAAAATCACTACAACAACACAGTTTGGGTGGACCTCCTGGTGAACCAAAATAAGTACGTAGCGTCCTTGCTAGTAGTAACAAGGGCATCGCTACTAGGAACAAGGATGTACTAGGGGCTCCTGGCCTTACTATTAGGAACAAGAAGATCTAAGAATTAGAATTTAATTACCCAACCCTTCAAGCTTCCTGAACACCTCATCCAGGGTGCCAAAGCGCTTCGGTGGCGGGCGGAAGGTGATCATGGGCGACCCCTGGGAGACTTGGCCTTGCGCCAGGACACATGGGGGTCTGAGAAATTGAGAAATTGCTGCCAAATGAATCCCAAAGATCATAGAGTTTTAGTGTGTTTTGATAAAGTTAAAGGTTGTGTGTCACATCCACAAATGGAACATCATTTGGTTTGCTACGTTTGCTCAACAGTCATTTCATGTGGCTTCCTTCACCAAGGAAAGCGCCAGCTCGTCCAGCGAGGACGGGAGATCTAAGATCTATAGTGAACTTGGCGGCCGTTTTCGATCGAAACGAACCTGCTTGACGCTGTTTGATTTGATGCTTTGCATTGTATGATCAATGGTATCATTGGTTGGTTCCAATGGTAGAAATATGTAGAACAAGTCCTCAAGGTTCCGGCAGCAGTATGGCGCTGGTGCCCCATCGTATTTGCAATTACTTACTGACTCTATATATTTATTTGATGCTGTTTCATTTGCATGTGGATGTTCATAGTGCCGGAGGAACACAAAGGGATCCAACACCAGAGGCATTGGTAGTTTTATGTAGTGATTGTAGTTGAATGTTGTAGGTATTATCTATAGTATTACATAGTAAATAAATATATTACGAAAGCCAGCCGATAGGCTAGGCTTGAGCTTTTGATACGGTGGACGCAGAGCTTGGTGGGGGAGAGCGCTCCAAAGCGAGGGTCCGAAAAGCAGTGAAAATGGGGTCTGGTGATGCGAGTGATGTAATGGACGCCGAGTAGTGCATCATTAGCATCATGAAGGGCTTTGGAAACTATTTGGGCGATGGGCATAGAGGACTCGAGTGGAGATAGAGACCTGCGTACAGAGCAGACCGCAGCCGCAGCTGGAAGAACCTAGCTGGCTTTCGTTTCGTATATATATTTATATTTATATTTATATTTATATTATAGTGTCCTGTTTTTGAGTAGCAAAGGAAGGTGTTCTTCCCTTTCTTCACACATGTTCATGGCACTTCATGGACCGCACCAACCCAAGGACGAAACAGTTCCCTGGGAGTAGAGCTCCCAGCTGACTGGAATACTCACCGTTGTTGGCGCTTTGTGTCGTGTGTTTCTTGAAGGCAAAGAGCTGGGATCACTTCATGAGAGATGGAAACAGGTCCACAGAGATTGTATGGACTTAATGAGGGCGGTAAAGGGACTTGACTGGAGACCAGCTTTTTAGGGCTTGGAACTACATTCAGTCTGTTATGTTTGATGATGTCGCCTCCAAGTTGTAGTTGCAAAGCGCTGTAAAACAGATGTCTACATGGAGGACCAAACTACTGAGTTCACCATTTTGGCATTGTTTTGGAGCATGTTGCAGAAGCGATATTTTGTTGTGTTTGCTGAGGGCGGTGCAGCACTTTGTGGTGGTTGAGACGGGCCTTTGCGCGTGGGGAAGCTCAGGAATCTGAGACAGTCCCAGGCGGGAGCCGGGCTAAACTCGTGCTCAAACGCAACATCACAGATGTCCACAACTATGGGTTTTTTAGTAGGTTGGAGGCCATTGCTATTCGAAACAAAGATACAAGAAAACGAAGAGAGGTCTAATATAGGTTGCTATAGTTGCTCAATGGTCCTGGTGAGACAGATCAATTGAAGCAGCTGGAAAGATCGTAAATACAGTGTTGTTGTTGTCATTGTGGTTGTTGTTGTTGTTGTTGTTGCTGTTCTTGTTTCAAAGGGACCACTGCGAAAATCAAAGGCTACAGCTACTACTATCATAATTCAATATACTTCATACCACATGGAATCTACTGCAGTGTGAGAGTCAAATTGTGATGTCTAGTTGTTGAACTTTGCTCAGCAAGGGTTTCTTTCACTCACTCGCATTAGACATGGCGCAAATGGTGCTCTGAATCAGCTGTGCTCATGAGTTTAGTCCTTGCATGTTCGTTCTGTCAGCATGGGCATGCTGGCTGTGCCCGACTCAATGGGAGACCAGTGCCACACAAGCGGATACAACACACTTTGACTAGGTCCAGGCTCCAAGACAGATACAGAACAATAACAGGAAATGATAACGAAAAAAAGGCGAGCCTGAATCGTACCAGTGCCGGCACCACTCGCCGGCACGGCAACGGCTCATACAGTACATTTGGTAGTCATGCGTAGTAGGGTGTGCAGCCTGGCAAGCTGTGTCATGTACTGTACTGTTTTCCAACAAACCAAAATGGGGTAAAATAGCATTCGTTCGCAGCTAACATGGGAAGAAGTCGATGTGTAGGGCCGGGGACATATGTGAGGATTTCCAGAGCATAGTTATGGGCATAAGATGTCATGATTAATACGAGTTAATAAGTTGTGGATAGTAATATACTATACGGTTGCAGGCCATCGCTATTAGGTTGGAGGCCACCGCTATTAGGTTGGAGGCCATCGCTATTAGGTTGGAGACCATTGCTATTAAAAGGTTGGGGGCCATCGCTACTAGGTTGGAGGCCATCGCTTAAAAGGGTTGGAGGGCATCGCCAGGTTGGAGACCATCGCTCTTAGGTTCCTTTTGCTATCATGTTGGAGGCCATCGCTATAGTTGTGGTCATAGTACTGCAGAAGGGTCAAACAGAGAGGACTCTACAATCTCAGGTCTTGCGATAAGGAGGAGATTTGCACGGGGCCCAGTTGAAAGGTTAGATTGATGGCCTTGGTTTAATTGTCGACTGCTTGGGATTCCCCAAAGTTGTTCCAATACAAGCCAGAGTGATCGGGAGAAATTGTATGCTGCTTTGAGCAGCTCCGCTTGCTCCATGATTGCGGCGACATGTCTCTTGATGCTTCTTCTGGTTTACGGATTTTCATGCCCTCACTCCTGTATGCAAGCACTCTCATTGGCAGGCTCTATGATTGTAGGATTTGCAGAGCCTTGAATCACAGGGATTGGGGGAGGCTTCTGAGACTCTGCTGGCCTTACTACAAGGAACAAGAAGCTACTAGGGGCTCCTGGCATCGCTACTTGGAGCAAGGACGCTACTAGGGGCTCCTGGCCTTACTACTAGGAACAAGTATACTAGGGGCTCCTGGCATCGCTACTAGGAGCAAGGACGCTACTAGGGGCTCCTGGCCTCACTACTAGGAACAAGAAGCTATTAAGGGTATTCCGCGAAGGGCTGGTTTACTCCAGGCAGCTTGCTGGAGTCCGTCAGTGCCTCTTCCATGGCACCCAAGCAGGCGGTTTGGCGCACGCGTCGCAGACGTTCCCACAAAAAATTAGATGATAGATTGAGGGAAACATACTGTACTCTAGGAAGGCAGGGTGATTGGCGTAATAAAGGGACTCTAAAGCTCCGAAGCTTGTTGGCTGCAAGCGGCCATTTCTGGAGTCTATGGGGGTTATTCCAGTGTTTGGGTTTTCGGAAGGATTGAAGGTCAGAACGAAAGACTGTCGCGACGATTCAATATTTGGACGGGAAAGCGTCTCAACATCACAAAGCCAAGCGAGGCATTAAGACACGCATGTCTTCGTGGACTGAGCAAAAACAAGCAAAAGCCACGGGACATTTGGGGTCACTGAACGATTCATGACTGGTTGAAAGTTGTCGAACGATGGTGCAGTTCTGAAGATTTAGATGGTTTTAGTATAAGACATGCAAGAGGCACATGCAATTCACTTTTTGCGTTGATATGGAGTGTGTAAGTGGGTGTGGGTGTGGGTGGGTGGGTGGTTCCCTGCAGGTTAGCGTGTTCTTTGTCCTCAAGGATTCAAAGGAGGCACTTCGATGATGGATGAATCAATTTTCCACTCCCAAAGTTAAACCTCCTAGACTGATCTACACATATCTACTTTAAACAGGGTTGTGAAGCATGTTGTTGAAGCACAGTGGCACGTATGGCATTGCAGAACCATGCAAATGTTTTTTCTTGTCGAACATCCACACAACCGGTCAGAATGTTAATGTATGAATTCATGCCACCATAATTGAACACAGAGCCATTTCTCATTGTACCGCAGCATTGGGCTTCAAAGGGTGAGTTGATGGGAGGTGGTGGGAATCCACCTGCGCTGTGAGAAGTTCCCAGTGAGAGAGGGGAGCTCTCCAGTGTGTTTGGTCTGCCGGAAGTCGCACCAGCTGGTTCGGACAATCCAGCAGGTGTTTCATGTCGAGGCTGAGCCCTTGATACTGCAGCTCTTGGATAGAGCATTTGGTTGGGCTGAGGCCCTTTCACGAGCTCGCGAGTTAGAAGCAGGACGATCTACCGTTGAGCTGCAGCCCGTGCAACCGACCGAGTCAGCACAGGCAGAGCAATCAAGAAAGGGGCAGAGGGTGAGGAGACAGCCAGGAACAACCAGCTTACATCAGCCCCGTCATACAGTGCAGAGACCCCACGGTGAGGGACCGAAGCCTCTTTCCCATCAGCCCCGTCGACACCTCGGCCGCCAGCACCCAAACCTTCGCAGAGGCAAACCCGTTCAACCCAACCCGGAACCCGATTCATTCGCCTCCAAGGGAGAGTTGCCGAACCCAGACCCAAAGGACACTACCGCAAAAGCATCTGCCAGGAAGCCACCCGTGGCCAATCCACCTCCTTAAGGACGAGGAGAGGAGTCGATCTTCGAGTTCATACCTCCACTTCGAGTTCAGGCAGGAGGGAGAAAAGGTAGAAGAAGAAGAAGAGGAGGAAAGCTAACAAGGATTTGAAGAAGGAGCTCAAGTTTAACTTACCCCCGCCACCTCCCAAGCCAAAGAGCCCATCGCAATCCCCTCCAGGCAGTCATTGCTCGCCACATACGCCGCCCAGACCCCCGCCGGCTTACACCAGTTCACACTGGCCGTTCCTCGGGGCGCTGGTTGGATCTGGTCGCAATGCAGGGCTTGATCATCCGCGCTGGTCGTGCGGGGTCAACAAAGGCATGACAAAGCGGGCGAAGCAGGGTTTGAAAGACGAACGTGACCGACGCTGGTGGTGATGGCGCCCAGATTGCGCCATATTGCGTGCGGCTTCAGGACCTGTCCGCAGATGAAGAAAGGTTGCGTCAGAAGCTCCATTTGTTACAAGACCTCAAGCTTGCTCAACTGAAGGAGTTGGGGCGAATTGAACTTTCCGGTCGACAATGGTATTCTGGCTGCCTATGTTGAAGCGGCTGGCTTATCTACTCGCCCAGGGAAAGACCTTGACTACGTGGCCTTCAGGTTGAGTGGGACGCAAACCGAGCGCATCGTTCAGCACTTCGGCCCAAAAGCGGAATTTGCAACTCCATATTGTGTGGCCAACTCGCGCAGCTCTTGAGACATGCCCGGATGTGTTTCACGCAAATGGGTATTGGCTCACAGAGAAGGCGCCAAAAGATTGGCGCGCTCATCCCTGGACGGCAGCGAGGACGAGTGGGGGACGCGAAGAAAACCACTCTTAGCGGCGGTGACACAGACGATGCAAAGAGCAAAGAGAAAAAGAAAAAGTCAAAGAAAGGGGCGGAAAGGGGCAGAAGAGTTTGGCAGCGTTATCAGCTGCAGACCTTAGCCACGCCTAGCGTGTTGCAAGAGGCCTTGTCTCTACAGGCGCTATAGGAGACGGACTGCTTCAGGGCCACCCGGCCAGGTCGTTGGACATTGCGACGCAAGTGAAGGAGTTGGGGCGCGTTGAACTTTTTGGTCGACAATGGTATTCTGGCTGCCTATGTTGAAGCGGCTGGCTTCTCTACTGGCCCAGGGAAAGACCTTGACTACGTGGCCGTCAGGTTGAGTGGGACGCAAACCGAGCGCATCGTTCAGCACTTCGGCCAAAAGCGGAATTTGCAACTCCATCTGTGTGGCCAACTCGCGCAGCCCTTGAGACAGGCCTGGCACTGGATGTGTGTCAAACAAATGGGTATTGGCCCACAGAGAAGGCGCCAAAATGCGCCAAAAGATTGGCGCACCAATTTGGCGATACACTCATCCCTGGACGGCAGCGAGGACGAGTTAGCCCGACTGAGGGAGAGGGCAGAGAGCAAAGGGAACGGAGTGGGGGACGCGAAGAAAACCACTCTTAGCGGCGGTGACACAGACGATGCAAAGAGCAAAGAGAAAAAGAAAAAGTCAAAGAAAGGGGGGTAAAGGGGCAGAAGAGTTTGGCAGCGTTATCAGCTGCAGAGCTTAGCCACGCCTAGCGTGTTGCAAGAGGCCTTGTCTCTATGGGCGCTATAGGAGACGGACTGCTTCATTGTGACGCAACGCTTCAAGGCGTTAGAGCAGCAGATGCGCGGCGCTCATTGGAGGTGGTCAACGCCTAGAACGTCGCATTGGCCCAGAGGTTCAGGCGGCCGAAGCCTCAAAACTGGCGCATGAAGACTTAAAGAATCGCCAGATCTCCGCTCGTCCCTATGGCGCCCGAAGTGAGGGCACAGGCGATACAGGAAAAGGCACGAAAGACAAGTCAAAAGCCTCCGGCCATGATGAAAAAGGAAAGGATGAGAAGGGGAAGAAAGCAGGAAAAGGAAAAGACAAGAGATAAGATAAGCGCCACGAAAGAAGATGAGTGTGGCAGGAAGCAACAGACTTGTGAAGAGGTGCCTATAGCAGATTTGGGAAGGGGGGAGAGACTTCCCAGTCATTGAGCGTTGAGGCAAATGGAGCATCGCAGCTGGGTTTGAAGCGGGCTGGGCACCAGGGCTGGGGGCTGAGACATTGACGAGCAAGCAGTAGTATGAAGAGGCTGATATTGAGAGGCTGTTGACAGAAACGACAAGGGCTGACATGGAACACAAGTATGAGGAAGACACTATATGCTTTTCAGTGTGGTTCATTGGTCGAGTCGAGACGGGTGTGTCGGACCCAGACTTGGCTGGATGGCTCCTATCCCCATTTCTCCAGAGAGGAGCTGACAGATTGGGAGCGTCTGCATTTCAAGATGCGCCGCTTTGGAAGAGTCAGGGGCATGCACGCTGAAGACATTGAACACTTACAGCAAGTATGCTTGAAAAAATGCGTCAGTATAGCAGAGTTGGGGAACCCTCTCGCTTTTTGTTGGAAGCAGTAGAAGTATTAGGAGAGCGCTGCAGCAAGGTCAAGGCCTTGAGCCTGTCCCCATGAAGGGGACCAGGACAAGGGGACGTGGAGCGCGCCCCAAAACCGTTTTTTCGATGGGTTGGAGAAAGGCGCCGGTTTGGCGGTAGCGGCCTTAGGGGCACCGGGGAGCACGCTCTCTCCTTCGGTTTGGCGGGGAGCTGAGAGTGTTGGGGCCCCAAGAGGATTCATCCGAGGAGTTTTTTGTCGTATGTTTTAGACAAACTCGTTGCAACGCGTACAAAAAGAAGCGGCGGCCGTGTTTATATAGCACTATAAAGCCATTCTGTCCTCCAAGCACGAAGGGCTCAGTTGTTGTTGCCTTTAACAAGGCAAAAACATGTGGAAAGGCGAGATGAACACCGCCGTTGTGGCAACAGCACAAGAGGATTTGCAAATGAACACTTTTCGTTCGCAACTCTGTCCGAGCACAAGGCCAAACTTTACGAAGCGCACTTGCCCGAATCTTGCTGGCGTGTTGCGTTTTGTACTTGCGTATTCATGGGTTTCAACTATCATATTTGGGGGGTGCGGAGTTTGCTGTTTGATAAATTGGACATCTACAGTCATATATATGTATATCTACTAGGAGCAAGGACGCTACTAGGGGCTCTTGGCATCGCTGGTAGGAGCAAGGACGCTACCATGTTTATGTCCACACGAGTCACATGCCTAGTGAAGTGAGGTCTACCTGCATCTGCCTGATCCCAGCCCAGGAATGGAACAGGAACTTTGCCAGGAAATTGAAAACTATTGAGTTGGGCGCTGAGTTTTTTTGCGTGGCTTATACCAAGTCGAACAAGCAATATTTGCCTGACAAGACGCTACATTCACATGATAGTAAGGCTTCCCTAGAACTTAGCATCTTAGCCTTGCGGCCGATTGTGAACTTCATTTAACAACATTCGGAAGCTAGAAGCAACGGCATGATGATTACTGTTTTTCAAAGTCGCGACCCACCCAGATCTGCTTCACCCGTCCGATAGGATCGTGTGAGGTCGTGTGAGTTCGCGATTTCTGAGGCTGTTGAACTTGGAGCTGGAGGTGAATAAAACACTGCCCTTGTGTGATCCCCAAATGAGTGCTGGGATGAGGACCTATTCATGAATCTTACACGGGTTTCTTTTGGCATGCAAGTGACTTCCAAGCAGGTGCAGGGACAGTTTTCATGACTCGGGAAACTGCAAGTGATCCAACGAGACGCTCGCTGCAGTGGGCATGGTTCACCCAAGAGACTTCATAAGCCCCGCAATGTCAAGAATTGAAGGAGCGGAGTGAAGAATTCAGCAATCTCGTGAAACTCAGTTTTCTTGACAGCCTGACCAGGGCTCTCAGGCCAACAGGAAAAGGATGTGCAAGCATGACCTTACAATGTAAAATTCTTCGGCGCAAACGATTGTGAAAGTCCTTTCACCTTCGGCTTGTTAAGGAAACATAAAGAGCAGAAGCCTCCTCCACATCGTTCTCAAGAAGCACTGGTTTGGGCAGCTCAGAGAGGCTAAGTGGAGAAGATTGCTTGAGGTGTTGGGAGATTAGTGATGCAGAAGGTTAAAGTCCGCGTATCAATTGCAACCTTTCTGTCGAGACTTTAGTAGATACCGGTGACCATAGATGACCTCCGGCTTGAAGGAGGAGGAGGAGGAGGAGGTTTGAAGGAGGAGGGCCCCCCAAGAGGGAAGAATATACCCTGTGTGCCTACCCTGTGCGCCGGTGACGCTACAAAGGAACAAACATTTCTTTATATTGTTCGAATTTAAATTAGTAATTGACTTTTCATATTCTAATTTATTCTAATATCGTTTCATTACTGAAGTGGACAAGGGAGTTAAAAGAAATATTTAATTACAAGAATTTAATTGGTTTCAGATTTGGCCACCAGATCCGGGACTGGTTACTATGTTTTTACTTTTTAAAGATATGTTCCAAAAACTAGTAAGTGAAAAACAATAAACAAAAACTACATATATTAAACATTAAAAATTCGAACAACCTTGACGTGCAGATTTCGGCGTAGGCGCAGCACTTTGTGCTCTCACATGCTCTCTCTCACTCTCTCACTCTCACCCTCACTCTCACTCACTCACACACGCTCACACTCACACTCACTCTTCACTCGCACTCACATTCACACTCACACTCACTCTCTCACACCCACACTCACTCACTCTCGCACTGTCACTCTCACCCATTCTCCCTCTCTCACTCTCACTCACTCTCACTCACACTCACTCTCGCCCACACTCACTCACCCACCTTCACTCTCACACTCACTCTCACACTCACTCTCACCCACACTCACTCTCACTCACACTCCGCTCGCACTCACACTCACACACTCATTCTCCCACTCTCTCTCACTCTCACTCTCACGCACACACACACTCAGCGCTCACACTCACTCACTCTCCCACTCTCACTCACACTCGCACTCAGACACACACTCCCTCACACTCTCACTCTCACCCACACTCGCTCTCACCCACACTCACTCTCACACTCATTCACACTCGCACTCACACTCACTCACTCACTCACTCTCCCACCCTCACTCACACTCACTCTCACTCTCACCCACTCTCACTCAGACTAACTCTCATTCTCACCCACACTCACTCACACTCACGTTTGTGCAGTTTGTGCGGGAAGTGTCTTGCCACTAGCTTTGTGCAGCTTTGAATACTGTGAAAGTGTGTGAGAAGGATCAATATGTCATGTGAAATGAATAGTATGACTATGAGACATGGATCACATGTTCAAGTGCCTTTCATCATTGTTTACCACAAACTGAGACTGACTTTGAGAGTATGCTGAACAGACTGGGCTGAGTGAAACTTTGTGGACTGGTTTGGCAATAGGTTATAGTTGGGTTTATCTTAGGTTATTCTGTGAGTTTTGCGGTGGTCTTGCGGGTTTCATATGTGTCGTCACCAGCATTAACAAGACATCCAGCGAAGCGGTATCCATGGCACGTTTATGAAATTTGCAGAAAAGGAGTTGCATGTCCTTTTCTTTCAGGGAGAGCTCTGGTAAGGATGAGTCTGGTTCCATGTTTTCCTTGTTATCCAGGTGTTTTTCCATGTTTGCCCTTTGCAATTTTTTTGTTTGTTACTTTGACATTTCAAGGTTGCGTTTGTATGTATTTTTTGATGACGCACAGTAAAAATGCCCTTTGCTTTGCTGGTCGTATGTGAAAATCTTATGGTTTTGAATGAAAAGTATGCTAAGGGGCCCTGGCGCATAAGAGTAAAAATTCACCACCACGGCCCCCTTTCCCCTCACCCTCGACTATACTACCGACCCCCCCCCTCTATCACAAGTCGACATTGATTACATTGGTTAAAGTAGATCAGATAGATTGTATATTTTGTTCTACCGTTACTTTTGTAGTAAATGAATGAGTGGTTAGCAAAGGATTGATTTGTTAGCAGAGGATTGATTTGTTAGAGGATGCAATACAATACGCATATACAACAATTAAAGTTAGATCATATGATTCACAAACAATTGCTTCCAGGCGGGCCCGAAAGTCCGCGCGCCCATATATATATATATATATGTATTTATTTATTTATGAAACCTTCAAGCTTCGACACAATGAAACGGACAACGGAAGACCGTAAGACCCTCCAAAGATTTAGGAGGTACGTGGAAGAGAAATTCCTGTAGATCTCCTCACAAACACGGTTCATTCCTTCATTTGCATTTGCAACGGAAGTCATCTTATTTCCAGTAGATTCACACTAGGTACAGCAGTCGTCCACCACACTGGAGTGAGCCAAGTGCATGAAATGCATCAAGGAAGGGTTGGTTGGAGATGGTGATGTTGTCGTTTTGCACCCAGTCCTCAGAGATTGTAGAAACGCCTTTTTCTCTGCACTTTGTCACGTCTATCTTGCAACGGCCGAGTGATTTTCTCCGTCTTTCAGCGGATCGCATGAGGTCTCTTGGCTTTTGAATCGCGGGAAGACTATCAAAGCCTCAGACCACCTTATTTTGGTGACACGCACCACGGTGGACAGCTGGTTTGGGCCTCGAGACGAGCTAAAAGTCTTGGAACTCGTCCGTCACTGGCTCTTTGGGCGGACCGTGAAGTGATGCTTTTCAAGTCAAACAAGCAAGTAGTTGGAGTGGCTACTATACAAATCAGACAGAAGGGCCAAGGCTGAGTGATTTGGTCTCCTCCACCTTTGGCCCGCGCAAGGTTCCACCCAGAGTATTTTCCTGCGGTGACCTTCGCGTTTCTCAACACGGGAGCCAAGCGCGATACCTGGATACAGCAAGTACATTGACATCAACAGGCAACACATCTAGACAGATAGCGATCGGCAGTCCATATATATAGGAAGTATTCTACAGTATTTTGACCACCTAGAATCAGATTGCCAACAACTACTCTCATCACCTCTCAGTCATACGTCACCAGCATCGCAGTCCTGAAGCAGGGCGACGTTGCAAAAATCCTCACAGAAGGTGACCCACATCTTCTTCCACTTCAACGGGCCGCTTTGAACGTTTTCGATCTGCAAGGCGAAACTTCACCATTTATCAACCACCTATCCTTTTCCTGAAGGAGTGAGTCTGGAGGGAGCGGCAAATAAGCATGCAGTACGAATATGTACAAATGTTCAAATCCATAGAAAGCCTATGCAAGCCTTTTGATTTGAGGCATTCTGCTTTGTTGTGTGATGTACGTTTGTCAGAAGTTGATGAAGTGGTTTTTGCAGCACCCAGCCACCCGGGGACTGTGCAAGTCTCAGCACTTTTCTGGATCCTGTAGGCCCAGGCGAAGGTATTTCAATTTAAATAGTTCAAGGTATGATGGTTCTAGAACCATCAATCCAGGCACAGCCTACGCCCATTGTGTATTGTTCTGTAGATCCCGGGTGAAGATAGACATCCAAGCCTGGTTGACCATGGGTTATGCCTTGCTGCATCCTTTGGATGATATCCACGCGTGGTGATTAGCAGTGACAACTCTGATGCCTTAGAGACATTCTTTGCAATGATCAGTATCGACATGTCAACTTGTTTGTCAAGTCCAAGAACCGCACCCCCTGCACCTGTCCCTGCTGAAGGACTATTCCGAGCAGAATTGGCTGACGCGATACGCATGCCTATTTTTAGCACAGTCTTCTTTGGCAAGCCTCACGGTGTGGCGCCTCAGTGAAAGAGCCGCTGCCACAAGCTGATGCAACAGCAGACCGTTGGAGAGCAGAACATCTCAAGGTGAATGAAGCAGATCTCTTTCCACTTAAAGCACTTTGCACTGGCAAACGGAGATACATCAAGTCCTGCACCGCCTTGGAACCAGAAAAGAACTCCATGGTCCATGCTGTTGTTGTCAGTAGATTGTGACAAAAAATGCCTTTAAGGGGTCTTGGTGGCAGGTAGGATCCAGTCATGCTACTCAGAAGTGGCAAGTTCTGGGATGGCCCACAGTTCTGGAATGGCCCATTGATCAGGAAGCCCTCAGAGGTCCTTTCAAATTATCCTGCCTTGCTGCTGCGCACAGTTGTTTGATGTTGTTTGGAAGGTAGTGGCGCTCACATTTTAAACTCCGCAACAAAGAGAGAGGTTAATTACTGCCAATATTTTTTCTGTGCTCAACTTTTCCATACACCATATAATAGGCCCTGGACTCCTAGACTACGGACCAATCAGCATTCCCTCGTCTCGACCTGAGGACCCCATGGGAATGCCTTTGCCGAAGTCCACCTTCACCATGGTGATGCCCTACCCTCAACACCTGTCGAGCGAACGACTAAAGAAAAATCATTCAAGGGGGTTAAGTAGAAAGAGGAGTTTTATGTAGTCATAAAACGAGCCCAATGAGCACAACCCCGCCCAAGATCTCCTACAATGTTTACCAGTTGCGGGACATGTTGGCCAATGGCTGCTTACAACCATGTTGACCACGGCTTGCGTACCCCGACTGCTAGTGTATCCCTGTCGCAGCCAGGGCTTTGATGGGTAATGTGGACCACAGCCTGACTCTAAGCGACAGGTGGTGATTGGTGTGCTTGTGCAAGCTCTAAAGATGCAAAATGATACAAATTTAGGGGGACATGTGGCTTCTTTGACTACATCACATCGGTCAGTGAATGCACATGCATGCGCTCGAACTTGCTGATCGGTTGATTTATTCCAGGCAGTGTGCTTTTTCTTTTTGTTCGCCAATGGAGCAACAATCATTTGTGTTGCCATTGGTCATATTAACCTAGCTTTACTTTCTGAGGCTGGGATCCTGGTTTGGCAATGAGGTCAGGGGCTAGTGAACTCGAAATCAAATGGAATCAATAGACTCGACATTGCAAAATTGGAGACCGGCGTGCCGACGTTTAACTTTTTGTGCCCGTATAGTTGCTGCAATATTTGCATTGCATCATGTTCTCTTGGCACCTTTCTACAAAACCTTTCTGCCATGGAGCAGCAGATGTGTTAATATGGTTAGTTAGGGTTGAGTTTTCTACTTGTAGTTGCATTTCTCTCATCATGGGTTTCAAGGCGCCGAGTCCACGTGCAAACTTAGACATCAATCAAATGCATTTAACCTATGCTCACTCTGTGTTGAGGCCCTACAATATCGGCATTTGGACAAAGTGCTGGATTGGTACTATTGGGTTTGGGCTACTCAGCAAGGCTAACATACTGACTGATGCTGTTGCCAGCACTGCCTTTGTGGCTTCAGCGAACCGACAGCCATTGCACTTGCTTTTGTAAACTGCCAGTAATTGTGAGACATCAACCAAGTCCGATAATCTGAAGAATCGTTCCTGCCGGTTACCCGGTTCCTCGAATTTTTTGCTTTCTGGTCGAACAAATCGCGTTTTGTCCTAGTTATTGTTTTACCAACAGCTCATTTTGACATGATTCAACATCATTTAACTCAGTTCGCTTCATCTTCACTCGATCTAACGCTGTTTGACTTTGCCTGTGTTCCACGCACATCACCGCATTACAGTAATTCATCCTGGTAGAGTAGCTGAGTTTGTTTTGGCTTAGCTTACCTCATATCTATGCATCGTATGCACATTCTTATCATCCCAATGTTTCATTTGTTTGGTCCGACATGCAATCAGTACACAGCTTTCTCGTGTTTTCTCCCATCTATGTATATATATATATATCCCTCAAGTCGTCTTGGCTCACTGGACAACAAGCCAGACAGTAACAGGAATGAATGGATAGGTTTTGACGCCTGATGTCAGGAAGTTGGAGTCGTTGAGACTTCGCGGCAATTCCACGCAATTCCCTAAATTGCCCTACACCGGATGCAAGTGTCCATGAATGTTGCTCTACCAAGAAGTCCGATACAGTCGTGTCCATTCCTTCGACTCTTCTCTCACAGTTCATGCCAACCCGCTCTGAAAGGCGTATGAACTTGCAGCCCATGTTCTTGCCCGTGTACCGCTCTGGGTGCAGGGGGCCTAGTGTTGGAGCGACCCTGGGTGGATCACATAGTCAAGTACAAGACACCGGGAGTCACTGGATGATCCACGTTACCTCAACCGCTTTAGACGACACCAAGGCAATCCCGTGTTAGACGACACTTTCGTACGGGAGCCACGGCTCACCTGCCTTTGCTGCCCGGCGACCCAGGTATACCCATGTGGTAGTCTGGGCGATTTTGTGGGAGGTGGCAGCGGGTGGTTGGGTCATGTTGATCTCTATGGCAGGTGGGTGGGTTTTGTTCGCACTGACGGTAAAGCTGCCTTTGCAATAAGGGCCTTTGTTTTTGGAAGAAAGGAAACCCATCGCTCGACCAGTTGTATATTGGGCTCACCTGCTTGTATACATTTGTACCTTGTATATCCTTGTATACTGTATATAGACAAGTTCATTTGTGGCTTTTGTTGGAGGAGAAGCCACCTAGGTCACAAGTTGTTTGCCTAGGTGACCGGCTATCCAAGGCCAAATATGATTTGAAAGACATGCTCACGACTACTTCCTTGAAACCCCATGATGCAAGAACCGCTTTCAAGTAGTGGAGCTCCCAATTTGAACCACATTTGAACCGTGGAACGAAGTAGAAGTAGCAGTTAAATAGCAGTTGAACCTCTATGCTTTGTAAGTGGTATGATAGAAGCTTTACCTCGGAAGAAGTTTGTCCATCGTGGAACACACCAGCCTTCATCGTGCTTTCCTGGAGTAGCCAGCCCACGAGCTTCCGGTGCTGGGGTGTGCTTCAACGGGAGGAGGTAGCTGTCGATCAATGTATTGGGACTTTGGCACCACTGCAAGGAAGCACGGGCATTGTAAATTTGCCGGCATTGTAAATTTGCCCAGCCAACCCAAGGCATAGTGGCTTTCTTCCTAGGATAACACAAGAATGCAATGGTGTATGCTGTACTGTGTACGTGGTTTTCCCTTCCTCCAAGTTGCTGAACCCCGATCAAACCCACTCTATATTTTCTTTTTGAGAAAACGGTTACAGTATCAACTTCCTGCATCTTCCTGTAATGTATATACATACATACATATATATAATATAGATATATAATAGATAGTGTCCGCATTCACAGATGGATTACGGGCTCGGATTTTGAGTTTTTGGAGCAGTCACCCCGCGGTTCTCTCCCAGTTGGCGCCACCATGCATGGACCGTTGCGGGCGCAAGTGCTCCTCAGCAAGAAAGGAACGAGCTGGGGTTGTGAAAACTTGCAGAAATATTAGATGTAATATGACAAGAAGCTACTAGTAGCAAGGTGCATCGCTACTAGTAACAAGGGGATTGCTACTAGTAGCTTCTACAGTAGCTACTAGTAGGGATGCCCTTGTTACTAGTAGCGATGCCTACAAACAACCAGCAACTTCTGCGGCCGCACTTGTTTGTTGGTAGGACGGAGGGCAGTTGTTTGTTGGTAGGACGGCGGGCAGATGAAGACAGTAACACTATGGATCCTGGGAGTACGTAGGCATGATCAGATCCTCATGTGTTTTGCATTGTATTACGTTTCCGGCGGATGCCTGTATGCAGGAGTGAGTCATCCTAAGGGGGACCACGTTGGAAAGGTATGCCAATATTCCTTGCTTGTTCCAAGTCCCTGGTTGACCTTGACTCAAGGATGGTGCTTGTTGTAGCTTGCCCCAACTGGTCATGCGCTTTCATGTTATTCCCACCCACTGTCTTTGAGTCACGGAACCTAAAACTAAAGCGTTTGGTACAGGATTGTTTGCTAGCTCAGAAGGCCTTTGCTTCCACTACCATCAAATCAATTGCCAACTCTGACACTGTCGTAGCTGTGGAGCATATGAGGATACCTGGGACATTGAATCCCAAACAGGGCAGAAAGGAAGAATCTATGCTCTCCAGCATTAATAGAAACCATGGCCACTGCAAAGAACCCTGTGTCATCCTGTGTCAAAGACTACTGTAAATGATATTTCGTGAGACTTGACAGTGTTGGCTTGAAAGGAATCCGTCGATTGTAACTGGAATGCGCTTCTTTTCTGAGGCTGTCAGTGCTGGAGCTGGTTCACATGTGGGCGGCCGAGAGCCCTAGTCACAATGGGTTTCTGCCCAAATTCCTAGTTGACTCTCTTGGCAGGGTGCGAGTGAATGTTTTTAAAGTGAACAAAGCCTGTGAGCTGCGGCACAGTGCTTGTCATGCTTGCTGTACAGTTCCTCAAAACATCCGGGTCAAGTCAGGCCTTACCTTTAGCTTGGTGCAGTCGACGTGAGAGTCCATTGCAAAAGGCCTGGTGGTGGGGTTGTTGGTTCCAAGGTGCGACCTGACTTCGGAAACGAGGTGTTCTTCATGAAGACCCACCCCACAGCAAAGAGAGATGTCGACAATCATCGGGATCTATGTGCGTTTCATGAACTAGGCACCCACTTCAGTTGTCAGGAATTATGTGCTTGGTGACTTGGTGAGACCATTCACCGAGTCCATCACTAGTCACTAGGAGGAAAGCGTAATGAAAGCTGCTGGGCGTAAATGTCAGTGCCAAGGGTGTCCGGGGAAAAACTCCTGCCTTCCCTTCGAGCTGTTCCGTCAACCCCAGAGAAAGGGCCCTGCCAGAGTCGAAGGACAAGCGAAAGGAATAGAGCCATTGCCCTAGACCCATTAAACCATATTAAACCTACTGCTTGCAACCTTATGACCCGGGAGATCCATTGCATGGCCAGCGCCGGATCTTCTCCCTGATGTGCCGGCGGCATCCTGAGTTGTGAATGGGGTCAAGGCTGCCAGATGACATCTTCGGCAAATCACAAGAAAAATAGCATGAGAGAAGTTCAAGAAGAAATGCGAGTTTTTTGTGGGAGGAGTCATTGCGAGGAACAAACACTTTGTCGACTTCGAGCTCTAGTCATGTGAGCAACCTCCAGAAAGAAGATAGAAAGACAATGAAAGACATTTACATGGCCGCATAGGTGAATATGATCTCAAGCAGACCGAGTCAAACAGGTCCCTTTTGCCATTCGGCAGCGTTTTCTGGGCACATTGGGTTCTTTGTCCGCTCCCAAGACGAAGTCGACAGATCTTTCAGGTTATACAGCAAAGGTTGTTGGGCTCCATATCATCCATCATCATGTCATTCGGATTGTTAGAGTGATAAATTGAGGTCCAGGTGCATGTTTGGTGCATGAATGAAGTGGATGGCATCCAAAGAGGGCTCAAGCGCAAGAGGCCCAAAGATAGATTCATGCGTCCGCTCGTTTCTTGGACATTCTTAGGCACTTGGTTTGTGGTGGTTTCTTTGAATGTCCTGAGCCTCCTCCATAGCAGGCACTGCTGCGTGGGAACAGGTTACGGCCAGCTACAGCAGTGAAGGCACACCCCCATAAACATTCTTCTGGAAGCTTCCGCAATTGGCCTACTTGGAATGTCGTCAATGGTTTTCGTGGAACACGTTGTGCGAAAGACAGAAGCCCTAGATACAACAGAATGCAGCTTGAGTGGAGGCATGGAAAACCCGGAGCACCCAAATTGGCCAATGACAACAGCAATAGACACCAAATTATGTTGTCCGGTACTTGAGAAGAATAGAGTATGCAACCTCAGCTGGGTATGGGTATGGTTGGCCTTGAGAAGCCCTGTTTAATCTCACCTGGCAAACACACAAAGCTTTAGGCAACCACAAAAGAAGCACCAGGATGATGTAAACACTGGACTTGGACTTGCAGTGGCCTTTGTCGGCCTTTGCAGGGAGATAATCACTGGATGCCATTACGTAGAAGGCAAATAGAAGTGCCCAGCTACCTACCTCGCACACTCTGACCCAAGCATGCAGAATCGGGAGTTAGAGAACCAGCAGGCCAATGCAGGTGGCTACTGATACCATACATACAATATACAGTATACATACAGTGTATATATATAAGCACCAGTGCGCTATGACAATCATGGTCCAAGCCTTTTGGTTGCGTTCTTGCCCCAAATACACTGGCATAGTCGTCAATTGATTTGCCAGTAGCCATGGTTCAGTACCCAATGATCCACAGTTCGCTTGCTTCCCAATGACGCCAGTTTAAGCCACTGGCCACCACCGAACACGGGGCCCCAAAGATGGGACTTTGCTTTTCTGTCAGGTGCTCAGTGTGTTGGTCACATAGAGGAGAAGGGAAAATGAGATCTTCCAGTTTCCCAAGGTTTTCCTGAATGTACAAGCAACAGGTGTTTGGAACTGTGCAGAGGCTAAAGGATTGGGCGGCAAAAATATATATACTGTGTTTCAGCGTATATCAATGAGTATACTCACCCTATCTCATCCTAAACTGGAGAAAGAAACGGCGGAAGATCCTTGGAAGATCACCCTGTGCAGCTGGAAACCGCGTGGCCAACGCTCTTTTTCACCCAAAGACAACCGGAGACGAGGCAGTTACAGCAAGAACCCCTCACACTTAGGAGAATAAGAAACTAATAAATTAAAAATAAAAACACCAACGGAGTGTCAGTACAACCTTGGTCAGAGGTGGGAGTGGATCAAGGACGCTATTATTGACTGGGGCTTGATAAACTTGAACATGCTGTAAATACATTCTTCTACAAACAGGATGTTGTGGGAGCTAAAACTTAGAGCCAAGCTCCGGGAAAATGATATCGTGCAAAAGAAGACGATAAGAAACAGCAGAGATAGAGAAAACCCGTTCATTATTGTTTTTGTCATCGGTTTGGCATCCAAAGTTTACAGTTTTTCGAACTTATTCTGCATGCAGTAGAATGTGCTGCAGGCATGCCAGTTACCTCTTGAAGATGAGATGAAGCTACTGCTACTCGTACCATTCTAGCTACATAACCGGCTTTTTATGTACAATTAAGTTTCTACTGTCTACTTCAATTCGAACTTTTGAGGTACAACTAAAATTTATGCCCCAAAAAAACACACACAAAACACAGCTCAGCTATGTGTTGATTAGTTACCCTCATCAGACAATGCCCCTATGCTATATATCTAAATTTGAAGCATTTAGAAGTGACAAAACTAAACTCATGACAAGACTGTGCCGCTGAATGCATTGTGACAGTGATTGTTCTTGTTAGCCATCGCAAGGTACACTGCAGGAGATGATAACATACACGCACGTACACACTTATGGATATGCATACTGAACTGAAAGCGGTGCCACACGCCGGCCTAGGGTTCCAATTCCTAAGGGTACATGTACGAACCACGGGAACCTGGAGGACTTCAAGAGGAAAGAAGGCCAAAAGCTCAAGGCGAAAACGGACCGACGGGGTGACGGCGTGACGTGCATGTTTGCGGAACTCACTAGCCCTTTACCAAAGTTCAAAAGTTCGAGGAAAGCAGGTACGTCACGGTGATCAGCCGTGATATCCGCATGTACTGTAGCCGCTTCGTTGGACCATCGCACACAGTACATGGATGGTCCCCCGGCTGTAAAACGAAAATATTAAAAGCAAGAACAATCCAAAAGGATCCCTGTGATTCCAAGGGATACACACACACACACCCCCCGGGAGGCAAAATTAAGGCTAGGACGAATGTGCAAATGTGCGCGCAGCAAGGACAAAAGGATGAAGACATGAGAAGGAAGACGACGGGACAAAAGTGTGTGTGGCTGCGATGAAAGAGAAACCAAATGCACAGGGACAACCGATGAAACCTCATTGTCGAAACCTGGGCGACCTGAAACCTGAGTTGGAAGTAGATGTGCGCGTACACGCCAAGGCCCGGACCGTTGTACGCGCAAAAGAACGAAAGGAGTGAGATGAAAGGACATGAAGCAAGGGAAGACATGAAAAGAAAGAGGAAAAGAAGTATGTGAAGGGGAAAGGGTGAAAGGGGAACCAAATGGAGGGGACGGGAACCGATGAAACCAAACCTCATTATAACAACCTAGGAAGACCTGCCTCGTTAAGGTGTGTACGATGTATGTGCACCTAAGTCGCCGACAGGTTCCAATGAACCTTAAACTGGCTTTGACCGCTGTGGTCACCTTGTGCCCTGCCGAAATGGCTGGCTGCTTTGACCGCTACGGTCACGTGAAGGCATGAGCCCACTTGGAATTCCAAAGATGAGACAAAAATCATCGTACGTACGGCCTAGGCCACCTACGCTCGCTGCGAGCTGCTCTGTATCCGGGCAGTGGATACGTTCGACAAACCCCCGTTCAACGGGTCCACGGGAGGCACTCTGCGGGCTCATCCCGGGTTGGCACGTGGCCAAACACACTTATGGATATGCATACTGAACTGAAAGCGGTGCCACACGCCGGCCTAGGGTTCCAATTCCTAAGGGTACATGTACGAACCACGGGAACCTGGAGGACTTCAATGGAAAGAAGGCCAAAAGCTCAAGGCGAAAACGGACCGACGGGGTGACGGCGTGACGTGCATGTCTGCGGAACTCACTAGCCCTTTACCAAAGTTCAAAAGTTCGAGGAAGCAGGTACGTCACGGTGATCAGCCGTGATATCCGCATGTACTGTAGCCGCTTCGTTGGACCATCGCACACAGTACGTGGATGGTCCCCCTGCTGTAAAACGAAAATATTAAAAGCAAGAACAATCCAAAAGAATCCCTGTGATTCCAAGGGGTACACACACACGCCTCCCGGGAGGCAAAATTAAGGCTAGGACGAATGTGCAAATGTGCGCGCAGCAAGGACAAAAGGATGAAGACATGAGAAGGAAGACGACGGGACAAAAGTGTGTGTGGTTGCGATGAAAGAGAAACCAAATGCACAGGGACAACCGATGAAACCTCATTGTCGAAACCTGGGCGACCTGAAACCTGAGTTGGAAGTAGATGTGCGCGTACACGCTAAGGCCCGGACCGTTGTACGCGCAAAAGAACGAAAGGAGTGAGATGAAAGGACATGAAGCAAGGGAAGACATGAAAAGAAAGAGGAAAAGAAGTATGTGAAGGGAAAAGGGTGAAAGGGGAACCAAATGGAGGGGACGGGAACCGATGAAACCAAACCTCATTATAGCAACCTAGGAAGACCTGCCTCGTTAAGGTGTGTACGATGTATGTGCACCTAAGTCGCCGACAGGTTCCAATGAACCTTAAACTGGCTTTGACCGCTGCGGTCACCTTGTGCCCTGCCGAAATGGCTGGCTGCTTTGACCGCTACGGTCACGTGAAGGCGTGAGCCAACTTGGAATTATTCTGAGACAAAAATCATCGTACGTACGGCCTAGGCCACCTACGCTCGCTGCGAGCTGCTCTGTATCCGGGCAGTGGATACGTTCGACAAACCCCCGTTCAACGGGCCCACGGGAGGCACTCTGCGGGCTCATCCCGGGTTGGCACGTGGCCAAACACACTTATGGATATGCATACTGAACTGAAAGCGGTGCCACGCGCCGGCCTAGGGTTCCAATTCCTAAGGGTACATGTACGAACCACGGGAACCTGGAGGACTTCAAGAGGAAAGAAGGCCAAAAGCTCAAGGCGAAAACGGACCGACGGGGTGACGGCGTGACGTGCATGTCTGCGGAACTCACTAGCCCTTTACCAAAGTTCAAAAGTTCGAGGAAAGCAGGTACGTCACGGTGATCAGCCGTGATATCCGCATGTACTGTAGCCGCTTCGTTGGACCATCGCACACAGTACATGGATGGTCCCCCTGCTGTAAAACGAAAAAGTTAGAAGCAAGAACAATCCAAAAGGATCCTGTGATTCCAAGGGGTACACACACACACACTTATAGAAATGCGTACGGATGTGAATGCGGTGCCACACGCCTGCCTAGGTAAAAGTTACATTGGTGGCATGTGGATCCAAATTGGTGGCATTTGAATCC